TGCCTAGCTGCATGTCCCATTTCATCAGATGGCAGGCCTGGGAAGTCTACCTAGAAAGACAAGGGCACTTACATAAAAGTCAATCTGCTACATGTACATGGATGGCATAAAGCTAAGAAGGAATGATTTCCAGAGGCTCAACTATGTTACTTTCAACATTTTGGCAAGGACTCTGACAGCAAATGAGGTTAGCTAGTACTCAGAACATCTTCAAGGAAAGTGAGACAGCAAGTAATTGCTTTCCCTACCCGCAGCCCCCCCCCCAAAAAAAAAAAACACTGGTTCTATTTCTCATCAAATGGAAGAATCCTTGCGTGTGAGTTTTCAACCAGACATGTGGGCAGATCTCAAAGTCAGATCTGATAGTGGCTTAAGGGTTGATAGCTTCCCCAGGGAGGAATGGAACGATTTGCTGGAAACTTCCCATCCCCATCATTTGACCTTAAAGCTTCAGAAGAAATGAAAAGAAGAATCTCTTGACAAAAACGAATGGGGATCCCTGCTGTCATGTATTACTGTTCCTTTAAGATCCCATGGAAATAAAAGATAGGTCAAATCTATTAAGAGAGTAGAAGAGGCATTTCCCTCAGGAAAACTGGAGAATAATAGAAAAGGACCTTTTCTGACAAAGCATGAGTATCTTTTGGTGTGTTTGATTTTTTTGTTTCATATTTATTTGCTTTGAGTAGGGAGAAATAATTTAATTTGGGTATAAGAATAGTTCATTACTGAAAGAAAAAGGGAGAGAACTTCAAAGATGGGGTCCCCTGCAGTTCACACATTGTATGAACTTACCCTGGGTCCTTTGGCCTTTCCCATTCCCTTTCCTTTGGTAATTCTCCCTTTATCCTCCCAACCTATAGAGAATAATCAGGAAGCTGAGCTCCAACGGCCCTGTCTTGAAAGACATTTTATTGTTCTCTCCAGCTTCCCAGTAGACTGTACCACTAGAATTATTTCTATCATTGGAGTGGCAGATGTGGGTGGGGGTGGAGAGTTGAACAAACCTTTCTCCAAATTACAACATACTTTTGTATTAATACAAGACAGGCCATCTGTTTAGCTCCTGAAGTAGAGAGAATTTACTAGACATCTAAGAGTCCTTCACAAAGGTCCTCACAAAAGAAACTAGAGATGGTACAATGATTTCTAAACTCACAATTTCTGGCTTACTGCTGATGTTCTCCATATATTGCCAGTGTTTGGTTATATAGACAAAGGAGAAGTGAAAGCTTTTATATTTCAGCTGACCTTTCAAGAGACAAGAAGTAATTTTGTTTGAATTCTCCATTTCAGTACAAGACAATAACAGCTGGGCAGGGAGTTTGCCTAACAGTTTGTAAGCTTTATACCCAACTGCAGTTGTTGGATTGACATTTTATATTAAATCAATAGAGCATTGTTATTGAGACACCAGACCATTGCAACTTCAAGAAGATACTTTACCAAGTAATTTTTGCTAGATTTCTAGTGTTCCCACAACTGTACAGTCTAATGCCCCATTCGAAGGAAGGAGACATTCTAGCAGAATGATCTGGAATCTGAAGTTCTGGATTTGAAGATTCACTGCTTCACTTATTTATAAACAGTGCGATATTGAGAGGGCATAGGATAGAGGGTAAGAATATAGGCTTTGAGCACAGACTGTCTCCTAAGGTCCAGATCGCAAACTGATGCAAGTAAAAATGTTTTTTCAACAGTGACTGGCATATAGTGTGAAATAATTGTTAGTTATAGTGACATTCATTCTTTCTAAAAATATCTGCCCACAGCACCAAAGCCAGAAGAAAACAATAAATAAAAGCGAGCTAATCCAGGGGAACTCTAGGAAAAGTTATTTGGTACATGTGAGAAGCAGGTAGCCCGTCAGCCTCCTTGATATTCTGCTCTCTTCTGCCAGAAGTTGACATTCCTCCTGTAACTCTGAACACTAGCTCCAAAGATTTTTCCCTCTGTTCCTCTCCACATCCACCCTTATCAATGAAATTCCATCTACAACTACTCTACCATGGTAGAGTAGAATGACTTGGTCATTCTAGGATGACAATTTATTTTTAATAAATCACATCTGCTTTAATCGAAGTTGTTAATTTATAGTTGTGATCTTCAGGTATTATGTATACATTGTACAAAATATAGATTGCCTTTTTTTCTGGGATGAGAGATCCAAATTGAGAACTTCAGGTACTCTTGGGGTAGATAAGGATATTTTAAGGCAGGTGGAACATTTGTTTTTACTTGAATCCCAGCTAAACTGCTATTTGGGCATCCCAAATAACACTCCTAGAGTTGAGTGTTTCATACAAAAGGATTATAGACAGGTTTGGGGACGGAAGTACAACACTGTGCTTAAATACATTATTAGGTTGACAGGCATGACATCAAGGCCCAAGTGTTACTGGCCTTGCAGCGGCAGGGTTGCTGTCAACCAATCATGACAAATTGAACCAGCCAAATCTTTCAGTCACAACTGGTTTTCATGAAGACACAGATATATACCTGCTGGATGTTCCAAACGGGAAACCCGAGGCTGAAAAATAATGCTAGCAAGCAGAGAAAAAGAAAATGCCAAAGGCCCAGTCTTAGCTTCCATCCTCTATCAAAAGGAGTCAAGAGGAAGGGGACTTAAATTCTAGGTCCATCCCTGCTACTAATTGTCGACGTCTCTTTGAGCAAGCCATTACCTGCTCTCAAGTTTCTATTTATAAAACTGAGGGCAGACCAAGAACACCATCTTGTCACCTTCTTCAACTGGGAAGTTCCAATGTGGCTTGGGGAAACCTAAAGTCCCACAGGGCAATTCAAATGCCACTCCAGTAAAAGGCAACAGTCTTCTAATCATAAGAAGTTATGAGGAAATCAAGATGCTGAGATCAATGCAGGAGAGACAAGTAATAAGGGATACAATGAAGAGTACAAAGATTGGATCTAAGATCACCAATTGAAAGGTTACACAAATGGCCCTCAGCATTAGCTGAACCCTAAGAAAAAATTTTAAAAGAAGATTTGAAAACTACAGCGGTTCATATGGGACTCTCTGAGTATAAGGCCTTACCTTTAGTGCATTTTATTTAGTTTCTTTTTCATTTATATCATAAAGGTGATATACAGATGTGTTACAGTTATAAAAGTCAGACATTGGGTACATTTCTTTTTGAACAATGTCACCTCCTCTCTCATTTTCTCCCAGTTTTCTCCCTCCTGATCCTCCTCACCAGCAAGCTTATTTTAAAAGCTCCCCATGTGATTCTAATTTTCAGTCAGCAACTAGCGTTCATGATAGACTAGACTAGTTGTTGTTTAACAAATAGAAGAAAGGGTAGTGGTAATGGACTTCTAAAAGTGACATAGGATGAGGGTAAATTGAATACATATGAGAAACAAAAGTCAGGAACAATGACTAATTAGATCTCAAGCAAGGGAGCCTACAAGAAGGATGAACTATAGTAAACTTGCTGGGAATGGTGGAGAATAAAAGGATTTGGAAGGAAGACAATACAATGCCTTTGAGTTGAAGAGGACAGCAGGAAGTCTCAATAATTCCAAATCTGAGAAAATTTAACCTTGAATTAATTTACTCATTAGTTTGTTGTTGTTGCTGTTGTTGTTTTTCAGAAGCCCAGCTGAAACAAAATGGCAGTAATGCTGAAATACGAAGAAATCTGTACTTCTATGTTTTTGTTGCTGTGATTGTTTTTGCTTATTAATTTAGTTTTTGTGTATTTGGTCCTTTTTAATCTGCTTGATTAACATCTTTCAGGGATGATTTGTAAATATTTTGCCTATTAATGAAAGTTATGAACACAGCTTCAGAAAAAAAACACAAACATTTAAACTTTTCTTTGGAGCCCAGGTTGTGAATCCTTTATTTAGATAAGAGCTATGGTAAAACAAACCAAAGATTTTCCTGTCATATTTATTATGCTTACTATTGTTGGTATTTCAAGATGGTGAGTTATAGACAGAAGGAGAATATTACTAAAAGGAGGAATCATTAGGAAAAGGATGTATTATATGGAAAGCTTTTTATTTTTTGTAATAAAATGATGATTGCTGAGTCTCAAAAGGAAGTGTTGCTTTTTTCATAAATGCATTAGAGCATTTAAGATCTTCTTGTTCTTTTTCTTCTGTTAAAATACTGATGTATTATGGATACCTGTCCTTGAAACCTCCTGGCAACCATGAAAACTCATGCCAACTCATGATAACTATCTGCTTGAATAGTTCTGCATTTTTTACAAGTAGCCTTTCAGTGTGGACTTGGAAACAGCTTTTGTTCATTCCAATAGAAATAGGCAGCTTGATTTCCGGTACTCTGTTTTAATTTGGGTTTTACCAGCCTGTGATTTTATTGAAAGTGAAATCCATATTCTTGTTTAGTTTTAGTATTTCTGACTCTGAAACAGGAAAAATCACAGCATCAACATCAACAGAATTCAAAATGAAGTTCTGGCATCTTTCTTAAAAGGCATGTGGATAAGACTTCATCTTGGTAAATGTTCACAAATTACTCACAATTATATAGTTGAAATATACATCAACAGGATTAGGAAACCTTCTTGAATTCAGTGAAATAATTAGGAATATGGGAGACAAAAAACTTCTTTCCCATAGACTTGCCAACAGGAGGCTATGTTTGCATCAAGGTTAGTAAAGAAGAGCTGTGGGAAGGGAATCAAGTTGATGACCAAAAAGATGGAGTTCCATAGAATTCACAAACTTTATAGACCATGATAATGACAATTTGCCTTGTGAAGGTTAAAATGTGTTTGTGACTTTAACTAAGTATCCTATCCTACAATACTGTGAAATATGTGAAATTTATGTCATCACCTAATCTCAATTTAAAAAAGGAAGAAAAGTGAGAGAAGGGATGGGTTAGGAGCAGTGGGTGACAATGTTGTCAGACACTTTGTATTCATATACTGTTTTGTAGAATGGGAACTTCTTTGTACAACCACTTAAAGATAATAATTTTTTTAAAGATGGAGTTCATATACCTGAGCTCTCTATTTCCATGTAGACCTTCTGAAACTAGTGATCAGGACTAGGACTTCCAGTGAGATGTGTAGGAGACTTCTCTATCAGACCATGGGAGATAGATAAAAAAGAGAAAGCTGTTTTTCTATGGTTTCAGTCTTAGTCCTGTTAAAGGTTGACCAAAATTTGAGTTCCCTCAAAGCTACAAGCTGTCCAGATCACAATGGAGGGGAACCCCAAAAGATCACAAGGAACATTGCAAATGTATGTGCTGAATTCAACAATGCTGGGAACTATCCTCTGGTGAGGGAAAGGAAAGCGAGATTTGGAAGAATAAGGTAGTTGCGCTTCCTAATTCACCTGAGATAACTGCTTTCACACTGAAAGAGGGGAGCTGTTCTCTGACAAAAACACTCTCCAGGGGAATTTTATGTTCTCTAATCCATATGGGCCTGCCCATATTACCAATTAAATAACACAAGAAAAAAATCTATCAACAGCTGCAGCCTGCACTTGAACCTCAGCCTGTGTGGCAGCAATTCAAAGACCATACTCTGTACTGTAGAGAGGAGCCAGTGTTAAATATTCTGTGAGAGAACTTTGAATCCTATGACTTGACAATGGTTGTCACTCTGATACTAATTCTTCAGAGTGGAATTTCAGGACCCAATCAAAAGACAATGCCTGCAATAATGTTCATGTTGATTCTGTTAATGTAACATCTTCCATGCATATTTACAAAATTCTGAACTACTGCCCAAATGGGGACACCCCTGGCTCAATGGATGAGAGTAAAGGCAGCTGGCAGATTGATGACCCACCTAGAGAAAGACAAGACAGGAGAGGCCACAGGTAGTCTCAGAATAAAGAAAAACCTTAAAATAAATGCACAAGGTACTTGCTTAAGTTGTATTGTTGTTGTCAGGGTCATCTTTAAAATAATAATCTCACCAGTATAATAACAATAACAAATAAGCAATTAGAAACCAATGATGTCTTAAAAACATTCATTTCCTCTTCATAATGACATCATAAGAAGGGCTAAAATAATTTCCAAATTAGAAAACCGAGAGACCAAGAAATTCAAAGTTAGGCAGCTAGAATGTGTCAGAGCTAGGATACTGAGGATATATTCTATTGACAACAGCAGGCAGGTACCTGTGGTAGGTAGCATGGCCTCTCAAAGATGTATGTATGTAGAAACTGGATACTTCATGTTATAATGAAAAGGGAGAATTGGGGTTGCAGATGGATTACAGGCTACTAATCAACTGACCTTATCCTAGATTCTCTGCTCAGGTTAAATACAACCACCAAAGTACAAAAAGGAAGTAGAATGAGGCTCTCAGTTGCTTGAGCAAGCAATTCTTTGCTAGAACAGCAATTGCTGGCATTCCAAGATGGGAAGGCAGGAATCTGTTTTAGAAAACAGATTCATCTCTGGCCCCCAAGAGACAATGTAGCCTGCTGATCTTGACTTTAGCTTAGTGGGCCCTTTTAGTATTTCTGATTCTGGAAGTGGAAGGTAGAAATTTGTGTGTTTTTAAGTCGCTAATTTTTGCAGAAGCAATTAGAAGCTAATACTAGAAACTAACATGATACTTATGAATTAATTTGGATTATGTAGGATTTTCTATGTGAAAGCAAGACAATATTTTTATGGCATCAATGCATTACCTGAGCTGGCTATATCAGTGAATGGAAATTAACTTCCTGAATGTTCTCATCTCTTGATGTCTAAATTAATGGCTCAGCCAAGCACTGGTGGCTCACACCTATAATCCCAGCTAGTCTGTAATCCTAGCTACTCAGGAAGCAGAGATCTGAGTATCACAGTTCAAAGTCAGCCTGGGCAAGAAAGTCCATGAGACTTTTATCTCCAATGAACTACTCAGAAAAAGTAAGAACTGGGGCTGTGGTTCAAGTGGTAGAAACACTAGCCTTATGCAAAAAGAAGCTCAACGACAGAGCCTAGGCCCAGGACAGGCATGCACACATAAAACAATGAGTCTACTTCTTTTGAACAGAGGTAGAAATGGCTTGGAAGAACTACTAGAGCCTTTTGCTAAGAGAGACCAAGAAACAATGAATCATCTGCAATCTAGGTCCTGACCCCCATAATGCCATTCTATTATCTTCTCCAAGGAAATGTAGAAAAGAAGTTGAAATGAGGGACTTGATGCCAAATAGAAATGGATGTTGTGATCATTTTACCATCACACGTACTCAAAAAATCAATAATAAAATAATAAAATTGGCATGGTACAGAGAAGAGATTAACAGGGCCCTGAGTAAACATGACAGGCAAATTCACAAAGCATTCCATAAAACACAACAAAACCAAGCAGAGGATGCACTGACTGCTAAATAGACTTGAAAAGTCAATCATCTGAATCTGTTTTTCTCTGGTTGTAAAATGGAGGGAGTCATATTCACCTAATAGACTCCACTTTCATTCTCCTTCCTGTATGTCCCCTTTCTTTCCTCTCTGTTTCTTTCAGAGTTACAGCCAAGAAATTGCCATGCTTTTTCCTAATCAAATAGGGAGAATTCTGTTTGTCCTGTATAAAACTAATGCAGAAAAAGTTCCCTTATTACCATGATAGGTGTGCGGAATTCACAAAAACTGAAAGGTTAAATTTTATCATTTCATGTGTTGTCTTTGTTTTCTCCTCTCTGCTTTACAAGACAAACCCTGTTCCTTGGCCTTTCACAACTTACTTATCATTTCTACAGGTGTAAGTTGATCAATTCAAGAAGCCCAGTTCCCCAAAAGATCATATCCTTTAGTGACAAAGATTTTTGCCTCAGATCAGAATTCAATACAGAAAGGGGAATGTTTAAAATACTAGGCACTGTTCTATGTATCTCACACAAGCTTACCCATTTTATTTTGTTGTATCTGTAGACAAGGAAACTAGGCACAGATTGATCCAGCAAATATCCCAAAATCACACAGCTAATAAGTAGTAGTAGGAGATTTGAACCCAGGCAAATCTAGTTTTATAGTAGGTGCTCTATTTTTTGTTGTTGTTGTTGGTTGTGGGGCCTGAACTCGGCCTGGGTGCTATTCCTCAGCTCTTTAGCTCAAGGCTAGTGCTCTACCACTTGAGCCATAGTACCACTTCCAGCTTATTTCTGCTTATGTGGTGCTGAGGAGTCAAACCTAGGGCCTCATGCATGCAAGGCAAGCACTCTACCACTGAGTCACCTTCCCAGCCCACTCTTACTATTTTTGATGACATATATTACCTCTTGTCCAAGGATGATAGGTAAAAAAATATAGATGAGAGCTGAGCGCTAGTGGCTCAAACCTGTAACCATCAGGAGGCTAGAAACCAGAGAATCAAGGTTCAAAGCCAGCCAAAACAAAAAAGTTCTGTGATATTCCATCTCTATAATCTAGAAAAAGCCGGGCTGGGGAAATGGCTCAAGAGGTAGACCACCAGACAAGGAAGCAAGCCGAAGGAGTGTGAGACGCTGAGCTCCAACACAAGTACCACCACCACCACTACCCAAAACAAGAGAGAGAAAATACAGATTAGAAGAAAATAAATCATGAAGACACTTGAAAGCCAGGCGCTGGTGGCTCACACCTGTAACCCTAAGTACTCAGGAGGCTGAGATCTGAGGATCGCAGTTCTAAGACAGCCCAGGCAGGAAAGTCCGTGTGACGCTTATCTCAAACAAACTAGTCAGAAAAAGTCGGAAGTGGCACTCTGTCTCTAGCTTTGAGCAAAAGAAACTCAGGGACAGGGTCTCAGCCCAGAAATCAAGCCTCAGGACAACCAAAAAAGAAACACTTGAAATAGGTATTATTTCATTGAAATCAAATGGCATTTTCAAACATTCATAATGAAGCATTAATGTTTTATCTTGGGGCAGGGAACTCAGCCTGATTAACCAGAAGCCCAACCGAGAGTCCTGAAAAGGACATTGCTGTTACTTCTCACTATTGACATTCCGTACCCAAAACCAATCTTAAGGGTTTTCAAGGGTGGCCAGACTATCAAGGCTGATTTCTTGGAAAGAAGAACAATTTTCATTTCAAGGAGATGAAGTGGACATTTTCTTGGCCGAATGTTTGATAATGTTTTACTGGAAATACCTCTATTTCTTCTTCTTAAACCAGACCTGTAATTTTTGTTGTTTTTGTTTTAGTTGCTTAAATCACCCCTCCTTTTACTCCTCCCCCCAAAAAAACCCCAAAAGACCATTGGTAGCATTTACTCCTTCCCCATTCATTCAGTGGTAATAATGGAGAGGCTATGGCCCTCTGAGTTCTCACTTACCATTCATTTAGGATTCCCATCAAGTCCCGTGCCTGATCTCTGCCACTCAGCCACATGTGTTTCTTTCTCTTACACACAGGCTCCTTTTGGCCACCAGTAAACACACTGACCTTTGAAATATGGAAAGAAAAGCGCTTTGAAATAAAACTGGCACAAGCAGAGGTCAGACAGCCGTCATCTGGAGGCTGAAACAAAGAGGAGCATAGTTTTCAAGCTGTCTTCGTAATTATCCCAAGCAGTTACCACTCAGGCTCCAGTCTGAGCATTGCTCCCCAAACAAACAGCGGAGGTCTGAGAAAGCACATAGGGTACTTTGTTGATGTAGCCTACTGAGGGTGCAAAGCCCCTAGCTAAGAATCACATGTGGCTGTTGAGTGTTTTCCAGAGCTCCAGGCTTTTTCCTTTCTTCCTTCCCCTATTAAACCCCTCTGCTCTTCTTGGCAAAAGCCTTCAGGTGAGGTAAGTGCCAATTAACAACAAAGAATGTGATGTATTTTGAGTTTATGGCTGAGAGCGGAGTTCTCATGAAATGCATTCTTTTTCCTCCAGAAGCCTCGATTGGATTGAGAGCAAGAATTCTAAGTGTGGCTGAAATTTGGTTCACTTTTGCTACTGCTTAAGAAATGATTTCCCTTTTTAAGGTTTTTTGTTGTTGTTGTTGTTTTGGGGTTTTATTTTTGTTTTGGGGTTCCCCCCCTCCAAATCAAAAGCAAGGTAGGCCAACCCAG